TACTATACAATACTATACAATCTATACAATATACCATACAATATTATACAATGTAAGGCCCCACTTGCATTGTCTATAAATGTTTGGAAATGCTAGCACCTTGTTTTGAATAATTAAATCGTATACTTTTTTCCCTTTTTTTTTTTTTTTTTTTTTTTTTAAGTGCTTTTTTGAGAGATNCCAGATGGAGAGCGATCCAAAATTAAGACCCTTTACTGCTAATTTTACTTTTAGCATATTTCATCATATCTCGAGGATATATAATATCGAGAATTTAAGGGAATTGAAATATGTTTGCGCTTAATTATAAAATTCGTTTCTGCAAAGATAATTCCACGCAAAAATAGCTTTCGGTAAATATTTCTCTAAGATTTCTAAGATTAAAGATTAAGATTATTTCTAAGATTATCTAAGATTTCGATAAAACTTAGTATTTGTCATTTAAAATTACTTGGATGAAATGATGTAAAGATTAGTATGCTCAAACTCAAAAACATACTTTTCCTGAATAAACATACCTTTTTTTTAGACGGATTCGGGTTTTTGACTCTCAAAATAAAGGGAGTTGTCCCACTCAGAGAAATATGGTCCCAATAATTTGGTCAGGAGAGCGATCCAAAATTAAGACCCTTAACTGCTAATTTTACTTTTAGCATATTTCATCATATCTCGATGATATATAATATCGAGAATTTAAGGGAATTGAAATATGTTTGCGCTTAATTATAAAATTCGTTTCTACAAAGATAATTCCATGCAAAAATAGCTTTTGGTAAACATTTATTTATTTATTTTTAATTTTTTATTTAATAATAGTTGAAAAAATTTTGAATTCTGAGTCATACGATATTTTACATGGTTTTAACGAGTGTAATTTTATAGGACACAATTTTTAAAGGACTTTGCTGGATCCTTTGAATATTTTCGGTACCCTCTGAGAAAATGAATAGCTAAGTATCCAGGATGTGCGTCTATTTTATTTAGATAAATCTGATACACTATTTGCTTTTTGAAATTTCATTCCCAGAAATGAACACTTCAAGTTTCGTACTTTAATTTTATTCTCTCCCTTTTTTATGTATAACATTATTGGTTCTCAGAAATGCGAAATTCTACTTTTAAAGGCTTTGCTTCTTCTTCTTCAAATGCACTACAGCCCACTAACGGCCAAGATAATCTAAAATGATAGTAAAGAAGCCTCCGTCAACGGACCCCATCAGTCGCTGATTTTTATTTGAGGTCTGCCTCTAGCGCTCTATCCTCTGCCTCTAGCCGTTCGGCTTTCAATGAGGTGAACTTGGTTCGAATCCCAGCGATGGCTTGGATACGAATTCCGCATCCGGCTTACACAGACTGAACACAGTGCTGACGTGAAATATCCTCAGTGGTAGACGGATCGTGGGTTAGAGTCCCCTTGCAGCAGGCTAACCGTGAGAAGTTCGAGGTCTTCCCCTTCATGTGACGCAAATGCAGGTTAGTTCCATAAAAAAGTCCTCCACGAAGGCAAATTTCTCCCGAAACTTGATCTAGGAGTTCCCTTTTTTCCGGATTAGGTTCAAAATTACAAGGCTAAGGAGTTGAACATTAGTAGTCGTAAACCCAAATTAGATCGGCTGTCTTTCGATGGTTATAAAATAAAAAAGTTATGAAATATTATAAGAAGTATTTTTCTTTCGCAGATAAAAAGTTTCTTTCCAACTGTTTTTGAAAACGGGTATCATTCTGTACCATAATATATAATACCCGCAGTATCATACAATACTATACAATACTATACAATCTATACAATATACCATACAATATTATACAATGTAAGGCCCCACTTGCATTGTCTATAAATGTTTGGAAATGCTAGCACCTTGTTTTGAATAATTAAATCGTATACTTTTTTCCCTTTTTTTTTTTTTTTTTTTATTTTAAGTGCTTTTTTGTTCCAAAAGAATTTTTTTAATTGATACGTATGTCTTACGGTTTCAGTTTTTTCATATCAGTCAGTTATTTTTAGTTTTTTTATTCAGTTTTTCATATTTAGTTTATTCATATGAACAGTAGACTTAAATTCAACTTTTTGAGACAGTATATCCGAAATATTTCATAATATTTGGTACAATTTTATCACTTAAGAAATAATGTCTCAATATTTTTTTTCTTTACAAAGTAATTGCCAATGTAAGAGTACAACATATAATTTGCCCTCGCTGCTCAAATTTTCTATCTACAATAAGAAAAAGTATAAGAAAGGAAAAGAAAATTAATTCACTTATCCTTTTAGACAGTTTTATGGTATACAAATATCTTATTTCTTGAATCTTGTGCATTTTTTTTGCTGCCTTTTTCTGCTGCCTGTGCATTAAACTGTGAAAAATACATAACAAAAATATTTCCCTTTAGGCAAAAAATTATAATAATTCAAATGTATTATTTTCTATTCAATAATTAAAAAATATCTAAAAATGATAATTAACTTAGTTTCGGTTAAAGGTGCAAAAACGCACGATTTCAAGAAATATTTCTTATTAACCTCCTAAGGCGTATTTTTTTGCACTAATTTTTCTTTTTAGCTATTATCAAGGTTCTGAAGACATCTATTAAGAATTAAATAGGTCGATTGGAGTAAATACTTTCTGTAGAGAAATTTTCAAACTACGCGAGTTTCTTAATTGAAACGGTTATTGACGAATTTAACTTTTTAAAAATATATAATTATTCCATTTGAGATTAATCGCATGTTTTTATGACAGATTAAAGCTGCAAATTCTGTAAATAAATTAAAAATAAAACAAATTTTGTAAAAAAATATTGTTCATGTAAGTGTGTTGTTCATGATTCAGTGAAAGATGCACCATTTTATTTCTTAAATAAAATATCCTTTTATTACCGAAATTTAATTTGACCATTTAACCATTCTGTGCACCGTTTTATTTCTTAAATAAAATATTATTTAATGCTGAAAACTTTCAACTGTCTTAGTAAATGCAGCTTAAGTTCACTTCCATGAAAATAATACCACATTTTATAAATTTTCCATTCTTGGCCCAATATGGGTTAATTTAAGTGATTTTTTAAAAATATTTAATCGTAATCATGACCTTACTTTCCTCTAAACTACATGTATTTTTAAGTAAAAATTAATTGCCTTTTCTGTCATTATTCAAAATTTAGTTGTCAGGAAGTTAAGAAAGTTCAGAGGCTTGATATATGAACTAAGTACAAATATAAATATTAATAAATCAACTGAAGCGGATCAAAAAATAAAATTAATCAAAAAATCAATAATCAAAAAATCTATAAATTATTATAAATTGTTCTTGACTGCTATGTGCCGGTTTCCTTAATGCTTGATTTTTCATTCGATTAAATGACATAACATGATTTTCATGACATTGTCCTTGACAACTTTACCTTTAAATAAACTTTCCTTTAATATGATTAGTTGTATTTTTATCTTTTTAAATATAGTGACTGATAACACTGGGAAACAATTTTTTTTGTTTTTTTTCCCTGTTGCAAGCAACGGTTTTCAGTTTACTTTTTGTGGAAATGTACAGATTTAAAAGCATTACACATAACAGGGGTTGCATAAATGTTGCGACAAACAAAACGGGATCAGGGCACAACATCTGGATTAAAATTGCATAGGAACCAATGCCCGCAAATGTCGCTATATGCCACTAGGGGCGCTTTTCTATTCGTATGGTTCTGAAAAGATCATTATAGGTAAGCTCCTCCATTTTCGGGCATGGGATGCAATGTTAATCCTGAAGATGTGCCTTTAAATCCCTCAGGACTTTGCCGAATTATTTCCACGACCTCTTGTTATACATAACGTTATTTGTACATCCAAAACTGAAAATAAAAATGGAGTTTGAAAAAAAACTCTGTATCATTAAGAATAACTAATTTCAGATTTAAAATCCCCTCTTCTTAATTAGGTAAGATCAAATATTTGTAAAAATGCAACAGCAAAAAAAATGTTCCCCTATGCAATTTAAAGACAAAATCATTAAGTAAAACAAAATTGCTGAAGTCAAAGCGCCAGATTTTTTTTTAAAGTTTTAAATGAGAACGTTCGAGAGAGATTTAGAGTTATTTAAAAGAGGGAGTTTGACACAGGAAAACGTGAAAGTATGTCAGATCATAATTTACAAAAATAAGAAAAACTTTTATTTATTGGTGAAAATGCATCTATATAGTATGTCTGCCATTCATAACAAATTGTAATCGAAAAGATGAATTTCTTAGAGACAGGCGTAGCGTTCATTTTTAAGGAAATTTTGGTGTTTTTTTTAATTTTAAGAGAGAATTTTTTATTTTATTTTTTATTTTTTTATTTTTTATAACCGGCGTTGAACAGCAGACCCAATTTTGTGTTTACGACTGCTAATGTTTAACTCCATAGCCTTGTAGTTTTGAACCCAATCTAGAAGACAAGGAAACTCCTGGATCAGTACCCCCAGAAGTATGATTTATAGTGTGAATATAGAGGACTTAGTGACCCGACTGATTTAACGTGCATCAGTCACCATGTACTACACAGGGAGTCTTCGGCGAGGTTCGAACCCACGACCTCTTAGACATAGGCCCAGTACCCAACCAACCAGACTATCCTGGCCTAAGAGACGGTTTGCAATTTTTTGTTATTTGTTATTATTTTATTTGCGCAAATTGCATCGATACTTTTAGTCATTTTCTACATCAAAAACACATTTTATGGAACCTGTAAATGTACTATGTAGTCAACGTTTAGAAACGTTTTGAGCAATGTTTACAGAAATGTGTTATATTATTTATGCATAAAACAATTTAATTAGATCCTACAAGTACAATCTATTTACAAAAACAAGAATGAATTTATTTAATTTATTTTATTTACTTTACTCATTTTATTTTATTCATTTTGTTCCATTTATTTTATTTTATTTTATTTTATTTACATTATATAATTTAATTTAATCTAATTTAATGTACAGAATTTTTATTTCTTTCTTTATTTATTTCAGATTTCTGAGAGGAAATTTGTCTTCCAAAAACTGTAAAATTGAGATTGAAGGTGAAAACGCATTAGTAAGTAGTCAAAGATTTCTGTTTATAAGTTCTTTAAAATTAAATATTAATATTTTCACTTGCTTTGTCATTACCATTCTGTAATCTTTTATTAATGCTTGAAAAATTTGCTTATAACGCGACTATTTTTCTCAATCAACTCAACTTTATTATGCAAGTCAAAATTTCGAATGATTATAAGTAGAAACAGCGCAGTCATGCTGAATCGTCTCAGGAAGCATATGCTGCAGCAAATAAAAATTACAATTCGATAAACGCAATTATTTTTGTGAAATTTGCTCCTTTTTCAACTTACCTAAGCAGAATTTTCACAAAGCGAAAAATAACTGTTTGCATGTTTTAAAATAAGTTACAATTAATCTAATAACGTAAAGCATATACCAACATAACAACCAAATTTCTGACGACGTGTTTACAACCTTGCTTTCGTGACCGTGAGTGTGAAGTCCTTCAATTAATATTTCGACTATTTTTCTACTAGCTAGAGAGCTCAAATATCTATTGAAGCTCCAGGTTTGGGGATAATACAAATTTCAATCCATTTCTGACCATTAGGAGAAGAATTGATATCGTCATGTTATCACAAAACTGAATTTATCGCCAATTAGTAATTTTGACCTCTTTCTAACAAGCTTAGTGTGTTTGAATGAATGGGGAGATGATGAATGTGGAACAATGATGATACAATGATGAATGTGGAACAATGATGATACATTGATGAATGTGAAACAATTACAACTTTGTTAACACAATCCACTTTGTTAATCCTAATCTTTGCTAATCCAACCCTATTCAAGTCGTTATTGCTTTTTTAATGGAGCGAGTTAAAATTTGCATTTTAATTCCAATAAAAATTTTGACCACTTTCTGTCATAAACTAGACAAAAGAGACAAAGCTAAGAAGAAGAAAATGACAAAATAAAACAAAAATGTTAAAACATTTTTCAAGTGATTCAAAGAAGAGATTTTTATTTTTATTTTACTGAACTAAAGCGAAAAATATGCAGCATGTCATAATTTTTGTAATCCCAATAATTAAAAAAAATTATGCACTCAATACGCTTTTTTTTGTTTATCTGATCTAAACCTGAACCTTATACGTTCCTTGCTTACCTAACCTAAACCTGAAACCCTCTACGTTCTTTGTTTACCTAACTAAAACCTGAAACTCTATACGTTCTTTGTTTATCTAACCTAAACCTGAAACCATATACGTGTTTTGTTTATCTAATCAAAACCTGAAACCTTGTACGTTTTTTGTTTATCTAACCGAAATCTGAAACCTTGTACGTTTTTTGTTTGTCAAACCTAAACCTTGTACGTTTTTTGTTTGTGAAACCTAAAACTGAAACCTTGTACGTTTTTTGTTTATGTATCCTAAACCCTAAACCTTATACATTTTTGTTTATCTAAATTAAATCTGAAAACCTATACATTTTCTGTTAATCTAACCTAAACCTGAAACCCTATACGTTTTTTGTTTATCTAACATAAACCTAAAGAATTTATCTAACAAAAAACAAAAAAATAAACTTTTATCCAAATTATTGAAAACTGATGCATCGTATGTTTTTTGTTTCAGATTTCATAATATAACTTTTTTTCTCCTGTTAGTTGGTTTGAAAAATGTAATTGTTTCTGTATATTTTTAATAGTTTTTCAGCGTTTCTTTCGCTACCAATTGATGCAAATTAATGACGTAATAATAACAACGTGTTTTATTTTTTTCAGAATTAAATTTCTTCCCCGAATAGAAAGTGACAAAATGTTAAAAGTAGAACATATTACGGAAGAAGAGAAGAGTAAAATTAGAGAGGTATTTGACACTTTTCTTATAAATACTTCTGACACAGTACGAAATGCAAAGTATAATAATAAATTCGGGTAGTTTCTCAAATTAAATTCTTAAAATGAGCTCATTAAATTCTCAAAGTTATAAACTGGACTAGTCCATCCAAGAAGATGCCAGCATGGAATTTACCTCTGAGGAAGGCCATGGCCCATCCTGGACTGGCGCATCATTGAAAAAGAAGAATTTTAATGTTTTTTTAAGATTATTCATAAATTTATTCATTTACTTTCAAACATTGAATATTTGTAAGCATTGTAAAAACAAAAGTGCTTTTCATATACAGTACTAGTTAATTAACTTCAAGAATAATAATTCTAGCCAAAAATGAAGTAAAAATTGAATGCATTTTAAGAGTAGCAAAACAATATTTGGAAGCCAGGAAGATACAAAAACGCTATCGAAATTTCCGCAGGTAGAAAGGACACATGAGAACCAATTTGATTGTCCGATGAAAATTTATTTATAATTTATAACAGTCGTTGAACAGCTGACCAGAGTTTGGGTTTACAACTACTGAAATTCAACTTCGTAACCTTTCAATTTTGAACCCAATCCAGAAGACAAGAGAACTCCTGGATCAAGTATCGGAAACAATTTTGCTTTCGTGGAGTACTTTTTGATGGAACTAACCCGCATTTGCGTTACATGGAGAAGAAAACCGCAAAACTTCTCACGGTTAGTCTAACGGCAAGGGGAATCTGACCTCTGATCCGTCTACCGCTACGAATATTTTACGTCAGCACTGTGGTCGGTGCAAGCTGGATGAGGAATTCGTATCGACGAGCCATCGCTGGGATTCGAAACCGGTTCAAATCATAGGAAGGCGGACGCTCTATCTTCTGCGCCACTCATGAAAATTGAAGCTATTTCTAACATTGACATTACTAACATTAACTCATCTCCCTTCCTCAGGCAATCAAACAGTTTATCGTGTTTCGTCACCTGCCTTCCTCAGTAATTATTCGTTAGATTTTAATTGAGCACGGTGCGTTAGATTTCGATGTATTTATTTGCGCACTCTTTTAATTTATTTCCATCAAGGCTGCTAAAAATAGGTACTAAATGTGGTCACAATGAATCAAGCTGTATTGCATTGCTGCTGTAATTACCAGACTGATATAATCTATTCTGTACAGACCAATACTAATCTATAGAGATTAATATATATTTGTTAAAAAACCAATTTCAAAAGTACACACATTGGGGGTCACTATTAAAATTTGTATGAAGAAGGAAATTTACAAGACCCGGTGAATCACTATTGTAAAAGGCGGGTGTACTTGAAGGAATTTTTAAAAGAATTGTGTTTCACTAGACAGGCATTGATGTTCTCTCACATCATTAATTACTTGTCAAATTTCCTACACAGTTTACTTCGCTTAAATATAGATTTGTAAAAATGCTTGTTTTTATTTTTGAAAGAGTTTGAAAAGTGCGTATTGAGGGCTGTGTTTAAGAAATGCACCTTTAAACCATTGAATTTACTATAATAAACGTTTTATTTTTCAGCTCAAGAGCGTAATAGATCACGAGCTTACACCGGATTTAGTCGAAGATAAATCCTTATACTACCGCTTTTTGAAAGGTAAACAAAATTTATTTATCATCATATTTTAACAATATAGTGAAAAAAAAATTAATATATATGTTACCGTTAAAGTATAAATGCAGTTATTTCATAGAATACCTAGTTATTCCATTAAATAACTGATCGTGTCCGTTAAAGTGTGTAATATGTTATTAATTTGACACTTTAACTAGTTATTTTATGAAATAACTAGGTATTCTATAAATTAACTAATAAGAGACAGTTAAAGTGCAAAATAAAAATTTATCTAAAATGAAATAACTAGGTATTCTATAAATAAACTAATGATAGACAATTAAAATGAAAAAGAAGCAATTTATCTAATTTATGCTAAGTGAACCTGGTTGTGAAGCATGTGTGTAGCAAAATCGTATTTTTAGCCACAGATGGCGCCACTGAAAAACAATTTCAAGCAGGCTTTCTGATATTGGTGAGTTGCATTTGTAACAACTACAACACGTTTAGAAGCAAATAGTCTTACAACTCCAGTTGTTTTATATACTTCTTAATTAAGTCGTCCCTGACCGAACACGTGTTGTTGGAAAAGGTTCTAACTTAGATATTATGTCTTGCTTTAGATCCTAATTGTTAATAACATATCTTCCCTCTATATTTGAAAAATCGTAAGGGACACTGCAGTTGCTGTTTTGTGTGTCTAACTTAAATTTACATTTTGTTTTGCTGTGATTAATTAAATTAAGATTTTGTGTGAAAAAGTGAACGAGAATTAAGATGAAATTAAAAAAAATTTACATTTAATAATTTGTTCGAGAATTATTAACTGTTTAACTTGTAAGAAGAAATACCATACGAATAGCTCTACAAGCCGCAGACCAAAATGTTTTTTGGGGAAATATTTACGTTTCAGAAGAAATAAGGGTTGAATGAGAAGCAATTAGGGAAGTTGGCAAACGAAGCAACTAGGAACGCGGAGCGCACTACAAGTAGTGAAACAACTGTAGTTGCTACTTTTTTTCGTAGTTTGTAGTGTAATATGCTGCTTTTTTAAACAAGTAGTTTAGCTAGTAGAGTGATACAAAAAAATAGTAGTTTATAGCTATTCCTGGCATCTACTTTATACGAACAGGTTCTAACACAACCAATTTTTCGAATTCGATCGGTACTAATCTCCGCGGGTCAAAGGACGCAAATTTAAAAACCCTTGTGACTGTGAGTTAACAAAAATTGTATAGTCACTTATGACTGATATTTAATCTAGTCATTATGAAGAATAGATAATTTATCCCTTTGGTCACTCTTTCACATGCGATTGTTTGAATGTACACTCGTAAAACAGGTTCTTTCAAAGGAAGGAAATATATTTTCGATTTACTTAATTTCTAAGAGGAGCATTAAACCCTTAACGAAATTGCAAGTATTTGATAATTTTCTAGCATATCTTAAATTAAATATTCGCTGTCAAGAAGGACATAAAAAGTTGAACACCAAATGAATAAATTTTAAAACAATATTTTACAATAACAAAATGGCTCGTGTAAACATGAATAAATATTTCCGAATAATTCCTTATGTTTAATGTAACCAATTTTTCATTCAAAACCATTTTGAACATATAATATGTAAATTAATTTCTCCAGCAGTGAAAATTATGCAGGTGTAAAGCTCGGTTTCATAAAGTAACGAAGTAGTCCCTACAATTCCAAAATACAAGTAGTTTGTAGTTAACGTTTAAAAAAAGTAGTTGCAGTTAACTACATTTGTAACAAAGTAATTGTAAACGTAGTAAACTACAAGAATAATGCAGTTGTGCCGAGCTTACCTAACCTTAAACTCTTTAAAGAGTTTTTTTTTTAAATTTTAATCTTTTCTAAGTTATATACTTTGCATGCATAAGTGTATTGATTCCATAAATGTGTATTCATTTTCTCATAACTTTATTTACAGCGAGAGATTTTAACTTAAAACATGCTGAAGCTCTTCTAAGAAAGGTATTATTTTTAATTAAATAACTATTATATTAATTATTGATACAAAGTTTTAATCAAACTGTAGTTTTTTGATGTGAAAAACATTATAGAGTTATGATGTTAATATTTATTCTATCTATCTAGTACAGCTGACCACCGGACTGTGTAGGGATAAGGGAACTGGCCTTACATCTGATCCAGATAGCAAAATATGGTTTATCTTGACTCAGCAAAAACTTTTTAATGTAAACCTAAAAAGGTTTGTTAGACTGTTTACGTTTAAATTTTCTAATCTTGAAACAAGATCGGTGACAAGTTGCAATATTCTACGCACATTACCCTGATCCAAAACCTTGGAAGACGACCTCCTATATAAAAACCTTAAATCGAGGTTGAATCGGGGTTTTCAAGCGTGAAAAAATCTTTTAATGGAGCTAGTCTCAAGGTGAAAATAATCTTAAATCTAGGTAATTATAAGGTTTCCTTCCGCAAAGTCTTGTATGCTGAGCTAAAATCCACTTTGCCTCGAAATTTTAATGGGCAATGCAATTTGATCCCATTTGCTAGTGACGTCAGCTAAATCGTAATTATGGACCTAAGTGACCATTGTACCTAAGTGGCCATTGTACCTAAAGGTCTGGTTTCTTAGGACAAGCGCCTTATCTGGGCGTTAGCGGGACGTCAACGTCCCGCTTACGCCAACAAAAGACTGGTTTGTTAGCTCAAAGCCTGGTTTCTTAGGACAAGCGCCTTATCTGGCCATCACCGGAAAGTTGACGTAGAGCTGACGCCAAAAAAATACTTTTTTGTTAGCTCAGCGTGAGCAGTCGGTCCAACGCAGACATTATCTCTCATTGCGCATGCGTTAATAACGTAAACAAATATTTATTTTGAATTTGTATTGATTTTGTTATTGTCGACCAGTGTTTTAGAGAACAAATAATGACTTTGTCCAAGAAAAAACACATTATAGCTGAGCTAAATGAAGAGTGCTATGTTTAATGAAGAAGCTATGTTTAATGTCAAAATCAAAATCTTGGCTGATTTCAATGTGCTGTTGGATGTTGTCCGCCATTGCTTCTGTGGTTAACGTCACGTTGTAATCCAACTGCAGTTGAGTTGGACGGCAATTGTAGTTCAAGATGAGCGTTCGATGACGTATACTATCAAACTTATAAACGGACCAATCAGAGGTTAGCGCTGATTTCCAGCTGACGGCGTCCTGTCCTAAGAAACCAGGCCTTAAGTGACAATACTTTTTGAAAAAGCTCTAAAAAATAATTTTTAAATCCTTTTAGGATGAAAGGTTTGAAACTGCAATATTTTTGCATTAATGAAAAATGGTTTTTAGAATAAACATTTTCTTGATAATAAAAAGAAAATTCAGACACAAGGTTGCCGTAGGGTTACATGCTTTCTGTGTCAAAGGCTCTAGGTTCTAATCCCGGTCAAGGCATAAATGTTCTTTCATTCTCTGCACTTATCATCATCTGTCCTTACTGTGGGAGCACCTAATATGGTGTCTAAAAAATTTATGAGTGGCCTACAAATCTGCCTTAATACGCCTAAATTGATGAACCAGGTGGACCTTGAAAAAAAAATCTAGTATAACCTCTATAACAACTTTAAATAAAACAATTTAAAAATAAGAAAAAAAAGAATTCATTTCGAAAACCAGCAATTTAAACTTTCCTTGATAAAATGTCAACGTCATGATCTTGATAATAAAAGATATTGAAAAATTGCAGGCATGGGTGATATGCAAAAAATAGCATCTGATCGTAGCAAAGATAAATCGACGTTATGTTTCCTTTAGTTGCATGTGTTAGTAATTTATTTTTGTTATGATTAAAACTCTTTTATCGGCAGAATGCCAGGTCTGTCGCATTCGTTATTTGAAATGAATCTTTTGAAATTCGTAAAGAAAAAAGGAATGCTAAATGATGAAATAGAAACAAATCACCATTTATGGTCTTTGAGTTGTCCCTCCTTTAATACTTTTTCACATCGTTTTTATTAACTTGCTTTAGTATTTTTAACTATTAAATCTTGCGGTAGAAGTTTTGATCACTTTTCGTCCAACTAGAATCTTCAAATCTCTATAGGAACATAATGAAAATCCAAATTTCCATTTCCAGATCGTTAGAAGTCGAGTTTATAGGGATATTGACAGGCTAAGTTATAATTGGAAATGAAAATTTTGATACTCTTCCAGATAGCTAAACCACTCATATATAAATTGGGCTCCATGTTAAAAGTAATAGCAGTACTTTTATTTAAGTCGCTCTGGAGCTGTATGATGAGCTATTTTACTTCCGTTTATAACCAGCGTTGAACAGTCGACCCAATTCTAAGTTAAAGACTACCAAGGTTTATTTTCGCAGCCTTCTAATTTTTAACCCAATCCAGAAGACAAGGGAACTTTTGAATCAACCATGGGGCAAGCTAGCCTTCGTGGCGGACTTTAGGAACTAACCCACATTTACGTTACATGGAGAAGAAAACAACGACAACTTCCCATGGTTAGCTCGACAGAGAGGAGTTCCTAGCCTATGAACCGTCTACCCATAAGAACATTTCATGCTAGCGCTGTCTTTTGTGCGAGCTGGAAATATCATTTGTACTAACCAGAAACACTGGGGAGCGCTCAATCCCCTGAACCACTTCGGCTCGTAGAAAGCTACTTTATACATTTTATTTTTATAATCGTCGTTGAACAGCGGACCCAATTTAGGGTTTACGATTACTAATATTCAACTCCGTATCCTTGTAATTTTGAACCCAATTCAGACGACAAGGAAATTATGGGATTAAGTATTAGGAGAAATTAGTCTTCGTGGAGGACTCTTCAATCCGCATTTGCGTTACATGGAGAGAAAAACCCTTAACGGTTTGCCTGACGGCAAGGTGACTAACCCATGATCCGTCTACCATTGAGGATATTTTACGTCAGCATCGTGATCGGTGGAAGCCGGATGCGGAATTAGTATCAACCAGCCATCGCAAGGATTCGAACCCGGTTCACCTCACCGAAAGGCGAGCGCTAAATCCCCTGAGCCTTCACGGCTCGTAGTGAGCTATTGATGACGGTCTGGGAAACATCTCTGCGGATGATCAAAAGACATGCCCTCGCAATTCTGATCCTCCTCCGAGGAGATGTCTTCCCTGCTTTGGTAGCTCGGCGTCCCGCGTGCGATAAAATATGTCATTGATGACCAAGACCGTGCATCCCTAGTCCCTTTGCAGGCTGATCAGAGTGGTTATCCACCCGCTGACTAACCATAGCCAGTAATGCTTGACTTCAGTGATTTACTATTTGAACCTTGACTAGCTTTTAGCTCACTGTGGGTCCTCTGTTGAAAGACAATGCAATTTTCAGTGTCTAGAAGCCCACCCAGATTCAGATCAACAGGTTGCAACTTGTGTGGAAAGTAAAGAAATTGTTCGCAAAGCTGGCAAAATTTCCCCATCTTGCCTTTAATCATGAATTCCATGAACCTTTTAGCCGACATATGACTGCTGCTTTGTTTTACAAGATGTTTTGTAATTTCCGTCTTTTTACAAAATTAAGTAAAAAAGTTATGATTGTGTCACAAATTTATAAGTAGTTATGATAAAAATATAATCATTTTCAATCTATTATTATTATTAGGCTATTTTGTTCGTGGAATTTACCCAAGAAATGGAAAAAAAGAGCAAAATAAAGTTTCAAATCACTTTAAATTAATATCTTTCAGGATGAATCTTAAAAACAATTCTAGTCGAAAGACGAATGCATTACTGCCTCAATATACAGTAAAACTGGTTTTTAATGCTTTTAATAACTCAATCGAACTTCCTAGTCTTAAAAGTGAGTTATCATAGTTTGGAAACATTTGTTCTTGTCCTACTTAAATATTAATTTTCACTCCTTAATAGGCAGTTTCCTACCCCTTCTATACAAAGTTTCTAAACATCGCATTTTGCAACTTATTTCAAATTTCTTATTAAAAGTAACTTGATAAACATAACCTAATTAGTTTATAAGTAAATGCTATGTAGTTTTGGATAAGAATTCTGCAAATTACAGGGTGTCCGAAAAGTATTTCAACGATCAGATAGCTCGAGATGGAAAATATAAGTGTATAGGGGTGTACCCATATGTTGACAAAAGATGCATTCAGTAATCCTAAGCTAGACCTCACATCCTGTTAATGAACCGGGGGGGGGTAAGAATTTTTAAAAGAAAAGTATTTCGAGACAAAAATACCTTAAATTGACCATTTATTCAGGTTGGTTCAAATCTAAAAAGGTTAGTTTGAGTCAGAAAATGAATCAATACTATGAACCATTTCATTCTAGAACATACCGATTAAAACGACGATGCATCGATAAATACATATCCTGATGGAGAAAAAATTTACGTATCGTGTCACTTAGAGGCTGAGGCAATTTTTAGGAAGTGGGACTAAGTTAAAGAATAGATTTTTTGAAAGAAAATTACACTTGTATTTTTAGATTTTTGATCGGATGAATATTTTTCGAGATAAGTGAACATTTCCATACTTTTCGGACACCTGCATATTAATGCTGTGATCACATGGCAACATTTAAAATGACATAAAAATTTGAATTATTGTACATTAGAATTTTATCTTCCATTCTCATTCTCATTATTTTTTTCAAGCATTTATCCGACAGAAAAACTTATCTGGGAGAAAATTTCAAGGATTATTATCCACCTGAGGTAAGTATTGAAAAATTATATTAATATGGATTGATTCTGATGATTAATTTATAAAAAATTTTAAAAAAAATGAATTTCGTGTTTTAAGTATAAAAACACTAAATATTAGAATTTATGGAGAAATGTGAAGATATTGTCAATGATAGTGCGGGGAAAGAAATTTTCGACTATGACAATCTTTTTCTATCTATAAGTACCTTAAGACTGAATTGAGTTAGCATGTCTTTTATACTAGAGAATTGATATTTAGTAATTGTGGTGGTGCAGCGATACTCTTCCACCAGAATTTTATTAGGAATTAAATTAGGATTAAAAAAGACCGAGAGAGCTGTGTTAAGTTCACCTGATTTTGAGTGCTTGTGGTGAGAGCTGTATTAAGTTCACGTTTGAGTGTGTGGGTCTCTCCTGTGTTGCTATTTGCAGTCGAGTGTGTGCAAGAGCCCGTTGTGTGTAAAATGAGACTGAGAAGCAACAGCTCGAAGGGAATGATGGCGCAGTCACAAATAGCAAGTCAACATTTCAATGCGTACCATCCTTCGAAGAAGACGTGTTCTTGCAGAAATGGGAGTTACTTATGACGTAGGCGTGTTCATATTACGTAAGGGTCACCAATGTGAGGAATGAAATTTTCGACTATGCCAATCTTCTTCTATCTAAAGGAACCTCAAGATTGAATCGCCTGTCCATACTAGAGAATGAAATTTAATAATTGTAGTGGTGCTACAATATTAACATAAAGAGATTGAAGTGGATTGGACACGTTCAGCATCTGATATGCTTGATAACAAAGTATAATATGTTGTGTTTCACACTAAATGATAGTTCACTAAATGAACTGAAAATATGAACTGAGGATACTAAACTAAGAGACAGTAATATAATTCACATGCTTAATTTCGTATTGCGAACGCCTTACCATTTATCTGGTTAAAGTTGGTGTTCATTTTAGCTGCGATAGACAAGTCATCGCTCAGCCGATTTTCAAATTATGTGCTTTGTCCTCATCACTATCTCTTCAAACAATCTTTCTCACTTGCTAAATTACTTTAGTACTAAAAATATCATTATAATTATTTTACTTATTGTAAGTACACCACCAAAAGTGACCTCGTCAATAAACAGGCTGTCAATAACTGGTGGCTTAGCCGTTTTATTACCTGTTACTTTCTTTTTCGGCAATGAATGAATATTTTGGTGGCAGTTATGTTTTATTGGCCATGCAGAGCCGTGATGGCTCAGGAGATAGAGCGTTCGCCTTCCGACGAGGTGAACCAGATTCGAATCCCAGCGATGGCTAGTAGATACAAATTCCGCATCCGGCTTGCACAAATCACAGTGCTGACGTAAAGTATTCTCAGTGGTAGACGGATTATGGGTTAGAGTCACCTTGCCGTCAGGCAAACCGTTGAGGGTCTTACTCTCCATAAACCGAAAATGTAGTTAAATTCCATCAAAAAGTCCTCCACGAAGGCAAATTTCTCCCAATAATTGATCCAGGAATTCTCTTGTCTTCTGGATTGGGTTAGAAATTACAAGGCTACGGAGTTGAACTTTAGTGGAACTTTTAGTAAACCCAAAATTGGGTCAGCAGTTAATCGATGGTTATTAAAAATAAAATATTTTCAATGCAATGTATAATGAAAAAATACACATTGCATGGATATACTTCAAAAAGGTATTCATGCCAAAATCGGCTTTCTTCCTCCAAAAAAAAAATGAAAAAAATGAAAGGTAATAAAACAACTAAGACATTAATTATTGTTTATTTACTTTGGACAATTGATCACATTTGAGAGTATGTCCGAGATCTATCATGCATTAATTCTTTGTACTCTTTCAGTATATCAAGGAGTATTTACCTTTAAGTTTCGTTTGTTTTGATAAAGAAGGCTCTGTAGTTCTGTATTTAGATTTAGGGAGAACGGATCCTAGAGGTGAGTTTCCAATTTATAACTTTTGTATCGATACCTCTCTGATCTCTCTAAGAATTAAACTGTCCACTTTTTAATCCCATTTATGTAGAACCTGGCAGTTNATTAAAATTGACCAATTTTGAAACCAATATAGCGAACCTTGCAAAAAAACACCAGACACACTCATGTGATTGGTTAAGAAGCAATAAATCTGTAGTTACTTTACTTATTATTTCTACTTATTTATAATTACTTATTATTTAATAAATATTAAGGTATTTAAATTTCAACATTAATATATTTTTTATAAAACTATTGTTACACAATGTACTATTACTTTAATAAATGTTTAAAAAATAAAAAAATGTACAAACACACTATCTAATAGAGTTTTATCTTAATTAACGGAAAATTACTTTTATGGGGGTCGATGGAGATTTCGAAAAATTAAATAGGGGTCGATGATGAAAAAAGTTTGGAGACCCATGATGTAGAGCCTGGCAGTTGGTCATTAACCTCATCTCACAGCATTATAATCATTTTAATTAAATAATGCAGAAACACGGTGCGTTGTTTAATTTCTACCATTAGGGGTACTTTTTCACTTTTTATTGTTTCCAGTAGAGAAATTTAACAGAGACATTGTTTCACTTTCTATTGTTTCCAGTAGAGAAATTCATCAGAGACATTGTTTCACTTTCTATTGTTTCCGAGAGCGAAATTCATCAGGGACATTGTTTAACTTTCTATTGTTTCCAGTAGAGAAAAATCCTCAGAGACATTGTTTCACTTTCCATTGTTTTCGAGAGTGAAATTCATCAGGGACATTGTTTCCCTTTCTGCTATTTCCATCAGAGGAATACATCCGGGAACCAAGATAATAGAAAAACCAGCGTGCAGGTTTTGTTTTTAAATTCCAAGTTGCTTTTCTGTGAGGAGTAAATTGTTACCTTTCTAATATTTAAATCAAACATGCTTTTTAAAGCAAAATGCCGTTGGTCAATATCTCCAGCTAGCAGTTCCAGCTCCTGTTGGTCTTCAGCGAAGACATTTCATCAGTAAAGCCATCTCTTTCATCTTCCTATTTTTATTTTTGTATGAAGTAAGAAAGATATATTTTACCTTTTTGATTCAAATTTATACCATTTTAATAAAGTATACTCTCGATATCTCAAAGTTGAAGAGACGCTAAACAAATTTATAGATAGTGAGTTTCCGAGATGACTAGTTCAGAACAAAATATTTCTAAAAAGTAGAAAAATATATTATAAATTAGTACTCTGAAAAGTAGAGTCTTGAAACATAAGAATTACTGTTAATAATTATGCATGATTCCTTGTACTATATTTAAAAGTTGCACAGATTGAGATTATGCAGGACTTGGGTGTTTGCAGAACGGTTCTCTGTGTGATTTTTTTTTTCAAATTTGAAACTGCAGAGATGAAGACAGTTATTTTAATGTAAAAACTTTTTTTTTCTCTGTAAAAAAACGGAAGCTGAAATTAATGGTCTCTACTAATGAGTTTTCAGACTGGAAACAACAGAAAGTGAAACAGTTTCCCAAAGTACCACGATTTACTTTATGAATTTCTTTGCTATAAGCAACAGAAAGTGAGGCAGTCTCCCGAAGTACAACGGTTTACTAAATGAATTTCTCCGCTGGCAAAACCAGAACGTGGGACAGTTTCCAAAAGTACCTCAAATTACAGGATGAATTTCTTTGCTTTAAGCAACAGAAAGTGGGGCAGTTTCCCGAAGTACAACGGTTTACTGGGTGAATTTCTCTGTTGGCAAAAACAGATCGAGGGGCAGTTTCCCATAGTACCACCATTTACTTGATGAATTTCTTTGCTTTACGCAACAGAAATTGAAGCAGTTACTCTAAGAACAACGATTTACTGAGTGAATTTCTCTGTTGGAAACTACAGAAAGTGCAACAGTTTGCATAAGAAAATAAAATTTAAACTGCTGCCTAGTTTTAAAACAACATGTTATTGAATCCTTAGCAAGCATTAAGTTGCTGAAAGGCTAAAAGTGCATCAGTTTAATGAATTTGAGTAATTTAATGAGGCGGATGATTGCTAAATTTCAGAAGTTTGAGATAAATTCGTCAACAGAGTAAACAATGAATTTTGCGGTATTAAAATGTTATTGCTAGCTCTAATCAAGCATCTGAAATCCATTTTGTTGTACTATTACGACTCTATAACGATTTCTTAGAAAGTTGAAAGTTCAGCTAACCCTTGATTCGATTGTCAGATAATAAGCGTAAGTAAAACCAGAAATAAGCTAATGGATTTTAAATGTTTAATGATTGTTCACGAGAAGTCTCACAACTAACATCGTGTCAATAACTTTAAAGTTTATACACAGATAGAATGAAATGATAAATTATGATTTGCCCTTATTTCTTGTCCAAAATTCTAATAGGCTGGTCTAAATACTCATTTAGGAATGTTTTTTTCATAGCTCTTTCGCCAAGGAGAATAGAAAGTTCATCGTTTAAGTGCATTACACTCGAAAAAATTTTTAAAAAAAATATACACCACCGAAGAGCCACTACATTATGACCACCCTGCTAATAATATGTAGGACCACCTTTAGCCCTTAAAACTGCTAGCACCCGCCGTGGCATTGATTCCACAAAGTGCTGATAGGTAATCAGAGGTATCTGGTACCAAGCGCTCACCAATTGGTCCTGCAATTCCCTCACATTGCGAGGGGGTAGAGTGGCAGGACGAATTTCGTTTTCCAAGTAGGACCACAAATGCTCTATTGGATTAAGGTCAGGTGAATTAGGGGGCCAAGACATGGCTTNTTATTACTTAGTAAATATTAATTTAAATGTATCAATGCAAGATTAGAGTTAAAGAAATTTTTAAAAAAATCACGTTTTATGTCATAAACTTACAAAATACATTTGTTCCAATGATTGAAATAATGCAAGACCATTATAAGAAAAGATTTAAATAGCACTATCTGACACGCACTTTTTAAAATCCATAGCTCTTCGGTGTATATACTACCTTACTTTAAAAAATGACCTGGGCTTTAGGACGGACAAAAAGTTATACTATGAGAGTCTGACACGAAATATTACTTGAAAGTTGCCTTTTAAGTTTGTTGTCAAAATATATTTTCTATTTTACACGCTTTCTTTTAGTTCAATTTATTAATAAGTTTTAAGTAAAACAAACTTAATAAGGAAAGGCTCTATGTCTCATTCAGATTTTTGAAAGAATATTTATTGGTGTAGACTTTCTGATCTGTTGTCATCTGAAACAGAATGTAGAAATAAAATAACTATCCGAACCAAAGGATAATGCATTTCAGGCATGAAGCATATTTATTGCACTTATTCCCGAACTGAGCACTGGTACAAAATAATCAATCTAGAGGGGTAACCAACGATGGGATAAAGTATGTCAAATTTGAAATCAAATTGCTGCTTTGAAACAAATAATTGAAACACTGTCCTACATCAAATTTGCCTTAACTTGTTATTTAAAAAGATTGTCGATGCATACAAGTGACGTCATAGTAGCTAAATCGTGGCATTTGTAAAGCCAATCAGGTGTTACTTATTCTGAAGCTAATCAGGTGCAAATTATATGCGTGACGTCTCTTACAGGTATCCAATTAAATCTATTTTAAATCCTCGTGGTTAGGCATAATCACTTCACTTCTTCTCGAATTTCAGGCACACAATTTAAAGAATCCAATGATATGAGACAAATGTTTATTTGTTGTCAATTTATTTAAAGAACTTTTTTTAGGGCTGCTTTCCTTGTTCACTTTCAAACAGCTTGTTCAGTTTGTTGCATTCAATTTGGAAGAAAATTTTAGATTAATGACTAAAGAGAGCATAAGGGTACGTTATATTTTTACATGGTATTAATTTTGATGAAATATGCATGCTAACTTTTGCAGATTATCAGGTCTGTCAAGAGCACTAGCACTCTTGAGTAGATAGTTGAAATGTTTGTCTCAGACTTTTTAAATTTTCCAAAAGTTAGATTCTGACTTGACTTATACACTAATAAATTTCCAACGAAATTCTCGGGAGAATATTAATATTATAACTTAGTAAATATTAATTTAAATGTATCAATGCAAGATTAGAGTTAAAGAAATTTTTAAAAAAATCACGTTTTATGTCATAAACTTACAAAATACATTTGTTCCAATGATTGAAATAATGCAAGACCATTATAAGAAAAGATTTAAATAGCACTATCTGACACGCACTTTTTAAAATCCATAAGTATTTTATTACAGACTCGATACTCAATATACTTGAGTATTTGGTGTCCCGCCTTGTTAATCACCGGTATTTGGGTAGAGAGCCAGGTTGGACTTTAAACGTTGTTTGTGATCGAAGCTATCAGACTGCACTCTCACGGATAGCTATTGGCTGCAAAAAAAAGCCATTCTTTCAAGGATGGTGGGGAAATCTTCGCTATCAGCACAAAATGCTTAAATTGCTCTCTAGTGACTACTTTAAGTGAAACTCCTTCAAATATTGTGTGAAAATCTTCCCCATTCGCACAAAATGCTCAGACTGTGCTCCCACGGCTAGCTAGTGGTCACTTTAAGAGCCTCTCTTTCAAAGATTGTGTGAAAATCTTCCCCATCTTCTAAATATGCTCAGACTGTGCTCCCAGGGCTAGCTAGTGGCCAATTTAAGAGCATTTCTTTCAAAGATTGTGTGAAAATCTTCCTCATTTGCACAAAATGCTCAGACTGTGCACCCACGACTAGCTAGTGGTCACTTTAAGAGCCTCTCTTTCAAAGATTGTGTGAAAATCTTCCCCATCTTCACAAAATGCTCAAACTGCGCTCCCACGGCTAGCTAGTGGCCTCTCCTTCAAAGACGGTGAAGAAATCTTCGTCATTTGCACAAATGACACAACTATATGGAGCTTTTGCCAAACACATTCTAGAATGTTTGGGCCCCACCAAGGCGGAAATTTAATTAAATCCTCAACTTGTCATCACTTTCTTTGAGTTGGTCTTTTGGATCTGGTCTGACTTCGTCAAACTTTTGAGGATTAGAAACAACAACAATAAGGTGATTTTCTGGAACTTGGTAACTCTGTTACAAAATATGTATACAGTTCGTTTGCGTATATATTTTTTTAAATTGTTGTCACACAATACATTTAAATAAAATATATTTGTTAACATACAAATTATAAATATTCTTCGAAATTTTCATATGATCAAACACTTTGTTTCATTTTTTAATATACAGGACCTAACTTTTAGCTAACCGGAGTCAATTAACACATTCAGATAATTTAAGGATCTATTTTAGATTTAGATAGTTATCAGATCTCCCTATTAAGGATTCGCTCGCTATTAGAAGTAATTATAAGATGGAAATATGTTTTGGCAAGTTTCCTTGAATTTTAGCAGCAGTTGAATTAAAGGAAGCCAAGAACTGTCCCAATATCAACTTTATTCTTTAGTTTTTTTGCGATGCTTTTTCGCAGATGTCAGACATTTTTAATTTGATACATACTTGAATTTTTACATTCATTTTTAAACTACATTTTGTGAAAACTAGACCTGTTCTTACTTTTGAGAGAATAATATAATTATAATTTATTGTATATTTCTTTTAAATAAATTGTGAATAGAATTTTGAATGGAAAATATTTTAATAAACTGTGTTTTATTTCCTTACAGCGGGGAAAATCTGTAACGAAGTTCTGTATTATATTAGATATGGATAAACTGAATCTATTTAATGCCACATTTAAAAAAGGTCCAGTATCTTCGAAATTTTTTTTTTAAATTATTTATTATCTAGAAATCTGGTTTTTAAGTCACTCATCAGGTACCTTCCTTGATAGTGTGAGGACAGGAGAAATTGATAATGCCAACCTTCATTTCTCAAAAGGTTCCCCAAGATTAAGTCGAGTTAGCATGCCTTATATAATAGTGAATCGATGCTTAATAATCGTAGTGGTAGTTACGCCACAATACTCCCCACTAAAATTTTATCAGGGATGGAATTTAATGCACGGATACCACTAGTTGCTGTATTTGTGAAAGACCAGGAAAGCTGTATTAAGTTCACTGGATTTTGAGCTTTAGTAATGGGAATTGTATTAAGTTCACGGTTGTGTGTGTGGGCGCTCCTGTATTGCTATTAGTAGTTGAGTGTGTGAGGATCCCGTCGTGGGTAGATGAGACTGAAAAGCAACACCGCGAGGAGAGCGATGACGTAGTCACAAATAGAAAATCAACTATTCAATGTGAACCATTCATCGATGTGGGAGTTACTTTTTGATAGAGGCGAGTTTTTATATCACGTTCACAGGCCACCAATTTGGGGAGAAGAGAAATCGACAATGCCAACTTTAATCCTTCAAAAGGTTCCCCAAGATTGAGTCCAGTTAGCATGCCTTATATACTAGTGAATAGATATTTAATAATCGTAGTGGTAGTTACACCACAATAGTTAAAAAAAACATGCAACAAAAGCAATTATAATCTCCCTCTCACACACTTTCGTGTCTTCCTCTCTTATGATTCAAGAGCTGTTGATTTTATCTTCCTGCAATTTGGACAGCAGCTGCAAGGGTCAAATTATGCCCTCAAACCTAAAATTCGTTTGAAATTTTCCATAGTTCATTCGTTAATGCCGTTTGAAAAATGGAATTTGGGCTAAGTGTTAAACATCATTTTAAATTAAATGAAAGATTATTCTATTTTTCAAATATTTTAAAGATAACATTACTGTTATTTGATAACTGATATTTCATAAAAAAGAAGTTCATAGGACTTTCTTTGATATTTTATTCATCTTTATTCGTTATGTAAGATAAACTAAATTATCAATTTAAGCGGGGTAGCATAGGCGGGCTGCATCACCTTAATAATTGTATAATAAGTTATCAAATTATGCTTTTAAAATGTGTTCTAAAAACGTTAAACATGTACTAAGTTCAACGGTGAGCCGTGATGGCTCAATGGATAGAGTGTTCGCCTTCCAATGAGGTGAACTGGGTTCGAATCTCAGCGATGGCTGGTCGATACGAATTCCACAACCGGCTTGCACCGACCACAGTGCTGACGTGAAATATCCTCAGTGGTAGACGGATCATGAGTTACAGTCTCCTTGTCGTCAGGCTAACCGTGGAGGTTTATGTGGTCTTCCTCTTCTTGTAACGCAAATGCGGGTTAGTTCCATCAAAAATCGTCCACGCAAACAAATTTCTCGCAATACTTGATCCAGAAGTTACCTTGTCTTCTGGATTGGGTTCGGAATAGCACTTAGTTGAATATTAGTAGTCGTAAACCCAAAAATTGGGTAGACTGTTCAACGACGGTTATAAAATAAAATAAATTCAACGGTAATTGAAATGAAAATAAAAAGTAATCTACTGAAAACGTTTTCTTATTATAGCACTTATTCGTTTAGAAAAAAACAATATAAAACGTCAGATTATTATTTTTGACGCCAATGATGATTAAGTAATTTTTGGTATTTTGGAATTAATTGAAATAAAAAATGAGCTATGTACGAAACGGCAAAGTTATTGGAGAAAAGATTATTGGTTTTGAAGAGCCTTATAAATATAACCATACATACTATAATTGATCCCAGTGATACTTAATGTTGGTAATATAAGTTAATTAAAATAAAAATAATAAACTTTGGGTAATAGTTTACAATAAGTTTCACCTCTTATTTTTCTGCGATTTGCAAATAAACGAATATCTACGTAAGTAAACCAAGAACCAAGAACATAAAGGTAAACAAAAGTTGCGGTAACCCCTAGGTGGCGTTATTAAAAGCGAAGACCGCAAAATATAGCATGGTAATCAGAAATGGGACTTCAGCAAAACTGAACAAAAATTATAGCCAAGCCAATGGGCATCCGGATTCCACATTAGAGCCAAATTATGTGCTAAAAAGCAAAGCTAATTGAAAAAAGATACGTATTCGGTTTGGGGAACCATAAAAAATCACCATATTATTATTGAGGGTGATAATTAACTATTTTCGTAAATTAATTGAAATAAATAAATACGCTATGTACCAAAATGCAAAATTGATACAGATAACGTTTAATTATATATGATTGCTATAATGGTATTCAATTGTTATTCAATAATGGTAACTGGTGTAGTTCAAATAAGGACAGCAAAAAAAGTGAGTTATAATTTCATAGAAAAAAATTAAAAAGAACCGTTTTCCGTAACTAGTTATTAGTATTTAAAACAGTATATTAAAGGTCAGATAGAGAAATTGGAAGTCCATATTAAGACCTGATAGGAATTCTATTTTAAAAATTTCGGCATTAGTTTGTTGCCACTAATAAATGTATTTCGTACAGAATTTAAATGCAGGAGGGTAATAGGTACCAAGTATACTAATATGTATTTCTGATATGATTATATGAGCTAATAAATTTATTTTTTACAAAACTCAAATGTAGAAGGGTATATAATAGGTACAAAATATACTAATATGTATTTCTGATATGATTATATGAGCTGATAAATGTATTTTTTACAGAACTCAAATGTAATAGGGTATGTAATGGGTACCAAATATACTAATATGTATTTTTGATACGATTATATGAGCTGATAAATATATTTCTTACAGAACTCAAGCTGATTTACTATTTTAATATTTTATTCACCCCCTGCAAAGAAGTGGTATCCAGATAGTATTGTATAAAAATTAGATTTTCCTATTACAATATGTAATGGAGGAAATTTTGAAAATATCATCTGAATCTCACTTATTAGAAGATTTTTATAACTTGTAAAATGAATTTCAGTTGTGTTTCTTTGATTTATGGATTTACTACTTTAAATTCCATCTATTTTATGCTTTATATCATTTATAATTTTATAAACGGTGTTGCACACCCGACCAAGTCCGAGTTTACGACTGTAAATGTTCAACTTCGTAGCCATGTAATTTTGAGCCAAACCCAGGTGGCAAGGGAACTCCTGGATCAAGCATTGGAATAAACAAGCTTTAGTGGAAGACTTTTTTATTGAACTAACCTGCATTTGCGTTACAAAGATAGGAAAACCTCAAAAACCTCCCAAGGTTAGCCCGATGGCAATGCTATTCTAACCTTTGATCCGTCTACCACTCAGGATGTTTTTACATCAGAACCGGGAGTAGAATTCGTACCAACCAGCTACTGCTGAGATTCGATCCTGGGTTTCTTCATTCAGAGGCGAATGCTTTATCCCCTGAGCCACCACGTTCAGTATATTGAAAGAATTTTAATTTTAACAAGAACTCTTGGAAAAATTCACAAACCATCGCATAACTTTGTTGCCTATTTTTTAAAGAAATCCTTGAACGTTTTTTTTATTATAAATGTTAGTGTAATTCTGGATATCCTGTAATATGAATGTAATATACACTATTTATTTGTATACTTTAATTTATTCATTTACTCGCTCAAATTTTTAAATATGTTTCCTTTTTTTATTTTAGGCATAGAAACTTTAATCAATGGTTTTCAATTATATCAAGATAACTATCCAGAAAGAATGAAATCAGTTTACATCATTAACGGTAAGCTTTTATTCAGATTCTTGAGAATAATCTAGAGAATTCTCTCTTTGTTAAGAATTAACTCTTTGTTAAGAATTAATGTAGATTTCATCCTGTAGCAATAATGTAGATCCCAAGTAATACACATACACAATTGTTATCGACAAATTACACGCAAGTCACCGTGACATTCCGGATTACCAAATTTTACGTGAATCTCCTAGGTGACAGTCATATGTGTTGAAAACATATTTCACGTAATCTACAAAAAAAAATTTATTTATGAACTATACACATGTTACCACGAAAGTCCGATGTATGGTAGATGTCACCATTCACATTGCCTCTAGGGATACTGCCCAATATATTTGCTAAACATCTTTTACAAGTATACAAATTTAATTTTTATTTATAAATTCTACACATGTTAGTACATGAGAGTCCGACGTGTTGCAGATGTCAACATTCACATTGTCTAAGTGACTATACAAAATGTTTGTTAAGCATTTTCAAGTATACAAATAAAATTTTTATTTATAAATTCTATGCCATGCGTGTGGTGAATGTCGTCAATTACAGTCTACTAAATGATAGTCCAACCCATTTGTCAAACGTAATTGTTTCTCAGTGACAAATATAAATGTCGACTTTCAATAAAAAGGAAGAGTTAGAGTCTGTTTCAGTGCGTGTATATCCAACTCCACAAATGCTTGTGCTTATGTCCTGAAATTTCAACAACGGATTCAAGAGGCAATTTTATTCCCAATCGTATATCCATTCAAGAAGGACTTTTTGATGGAACAAACTCATATTTGCGTTCCACAAGAAGGAAAACAATGAAAACATCCCTCGGTTCGTAAAGTGGCAAAGGGATTCTAACCCATGATCCACTGAGAATATTTTATGCCAGCACTGTGATCAGGGTGAGACGAGAGCAGAAATCATATTAAACAGCCACTGCTAAGGCCGGGATAACCTGGTTGGTAGGGCACTGGGCCCATGTCCAACAGTTCGTGGATTCGATCCCCGTCTGCTGAAGACTCCCCGTGTAGTAAATGGTGGCTGATGCAAGTTAAATCTGTCGAGTCGCAAAGCTCTCCAGGCCCCCATAACAAATAATTATCTCTGGGGGTACTGATTCAGGAGTTTCCTTGTCTTCTGGATTGGTTAAAAATTACAAGGCTACGGAGTTGAACATTAGTAGTCGTAAACCTAAAATTGGGTCTGCTGTTCAACGACGGATGAAAAAAAAGAAAAACAGCCACTGCTAACCATTCACTATCCAATTTTTCAATAGTCAACAAGATATCAACTAAAATGTGTATATCACTTAATCGCTCTTCCATTCATCAACCGATGTATTGATTCTCTTGTCTTATGATTTAATTATCCCATTTAGTAATGAGCATAACTCGCTCATTTCTGTAATAACGAGTAATATCCTATTACAAANCTGGTTGGTAGGGCGCTGGGCCCATGTCCAACAGTTCGTGGGTTGTCCAACTGTGTAGTAAATGGTGGCTAATGCAAGTTAAATCTGTCGATTCGCAAAGTTCTCCAGGCCCCCATAACAAATAAATATCTCTGGGGGTACTGATTCACGAGTTTCCTTGTCTTCTGGATTGGTTAAAAATTACAAGGCTACGGAGTTGAACTTTAGTAGTCGTAAACCTAAAATTAGGTCTGCTGTTCAACGACGGATGAAAAAAAAGAAGGAAAAACAGCCACTGCTAACAATTCACTATCCAATTTTTCAATAGTCAACAAGATATCAACTAAAATGTGTAAATCACTTAATCGGTCTACCATTCATCAACCGATGTATTGATTCTCTTGTCTTATGATTTAATTATCCCATTTAGTAATAAGCATAACTCGCTCATTTCTGTAATAACGAGTAATATCCTGTTACAAACAATGTAACTTAACTATGTATTAAAGTAACCATTGTGCATTGTAATTACTTATGTACTAATATAACCCCTTTACCTATTTAATCTACTTATATAATTACTTATGCTATGCACTCTTGCAATACTCATGTTACCCCCGCACAGCACTGATTAACTCTCAGAGATAATCCCTTTCCCCAACCAATGATCGCAAATACCCGCTTTCAAGGTCCTCTCAATAAATCTCAAAATTATCATACCATAATGTCAATCCAAGTGATGCCCTCTCCCATTATAATTGGATTTGTTACCTTAATATATTGATTCAATGTCCTTTTTAATATAATTGTTTGCCATTAATTTGTTTTTACAATTCAATAATATTTGTTTTCCATGTAATAACTTTTCTGAGTCTTTATTGAGTCTGTAGGGTTGTACTGGTAGTAGGATTGGTCTGTAGGGTTGTACCGTCTACAGGGTGACGGCTGTGTGGTTTCCGTGTCCGATGGGCCAAGGTCCTACGAACCTCAGGAATGCAGGGGATGAAGTTTTAACGCGGTGGCCATTAAAAGCAGTAAACCCGCTTCGCGGGTCGGCTGGACACATGCGCTGACAAAACAGCCGCTGCTGGGATTCCAGCATGAATCACTTTATTGGGAAGCAAACACGTTGTCCCTGGAGCCACCGGAACTCTTAAGGAAACTTTAGAACTTTATAAAAACGCCGTTGAACTGGCGACTTTTTGAGTTCACAACTATCAATGTTCAACTTCGTAGCCTTGTAATTTGGAATCTAATCCAGAAGACAAGGAATCTCCCGTATCACGTATTGTTAGAAATTTGCCTTCTTGGAGTCCTTTTTATGGAACTAACTCACATTTGCATTACATGCGGAGGAAAGCTGCGAAAGCCTCCTACGGTCAGCCTAACGCTAGGGGACTCTTAATCATAATCCGTCTACCACTGACGATATTTTACGTCAGTACTATGGTCGGTATCAGCTGGATGAGGAATTCGTATCGACTAGCCAACTTAAATTTATCAGAAAGTTTAGAGGAATAATAGCTCCGTTTCAAATACGTACGAGCAACCAAGACACAATAGAAAAGCGCCCTTAGTCGCTGACGAGAACAATTCAGGACATGATTTGTTGAGCAATTCTCAATTCTTACGATTTACCTTTTAAGTTTGTCACTTGGAATCGCCTGTGCAAGGCAAATCATTTTTTGGAAGAGGCAAAGAGTTAAAAAAAAATATGTTTCTTCTAAAAGTAAAGGAGAAAAAAATATTCAGCTAACATATTTTTTTAAAAACTTTTTTTCAGCATCCTTCTATTTCTACTTAGGATATCCTCTAATCAAAGCTATTCTTGCAAGTGTCTTACTTCAGAAAATACACATTTTTGGCAAAGGTAAGTTAAGAAACAATTTGGTAATTACATTTCAGGAAGAAAATTATTCTTTATATACTGACACATGGTGTCTCAGATGCTTTGCGCATGCTCGCGAATGAAAGCGTCAAAGGATTTATTCTCAGATCAGTTTGTGATATTAAATAATCCCCTACGAATTATATAATATCACAAATGTTATATTCCCTACTTATATATAATTTTCTCTACTTGAATTATATAATTGTGATATTATGACCGGGATAGTCTGTCTGACAGGGCGAAGGATTCTCGTTCACTCCCCGTGTAGTAAATGGTGACTGTTTCACTATAAATCTGTCAGGCTACTAAGTTCTCCATGTTCCCATAGCAAATATTACCTCTTGGGATACTGAATTGGAGATTGATCGTTCTCTGGTTCAGGTCAAAATTACGATCTGTGGATGAATGTATGGATGGGTTTACCCTATAAGCAGGTGTGACGTATGGGTGTGGCAGAAGTCGAATCCTTGGCTATAGATGGCGCCATTGGAGAACAAGAACAGTTGTACCCCTTGCCTTAATGGCCTACGATAACAAAAACAATAATTATTATCTAATAAAATTCCTGACTGGTAAGGAATTTCATTGTATCATAAGCTTAGTTAGGGAAAATTCCGTTTACATATTCATCAATGAGCATGCGCAAAGCATCCGATACAAACACATCACTTACAGGTACCAATCGTCCAATATTAAATTTTTGGGAACTACAATGTGTTTAAAACATGACATGCTACGAAACACCCCTGATTCATTTTATACGTCCTCTTGAATGCTTTCTTCATTGGAATTAACCATACGTTTATATGTAAAAAAATATATCGTAGTGACAAAAAAAATGTCGCCCGTGTTTCTCTAGTAGCTCATAGGGAACGCATTAAAAAAAAGATCCCTACGCTATGCCAAAGTTAAACTTGAGTGCAACTGTCTGTAAATAGACTTACTTATTACCCAAATTGAATCTGTTGTAATATATCAACTCGAGTAATCTAAGGGAGGCTATCAAGATAACTAATCACTTACGTTACGTAACATATTAAATTTCGACGTTGCGTGGCACGTACGAGTTCCTTGGCAACAAAAGAAAAGGAACAATCTTACTTAGAAATTCAATTTAATTGATATTTAATCGGTATATTAATCGTTATTTTTGCTGCATGTGTGACATGTATTATTGTGAAGGGAGGAAAAGATCTGTCTATTGTTTCGTGCTCAGTATATGCTAGCCCAGATTAAGAAATAGCAGCCTTATAATAACAAATTGGATATAAATTTTGTTAAGAACAGCCTTTGAAATTATTCAATAGAGAATACTATAAATATTTTTTTTAAAAATGAAACAATATTTGTTTCAAACTCTCTTCATTACTTTAAATGTTTCCAATGATCGAATTATTACCACAGAGAAGTAAAGATGCATCTCTAACTCATGAATATATATATAATTTAGGTTTTAAATGTTCCTGTGATTTCTTAAATCTAAATTAAAAGACGTTAATAATTTAAACATGATAAATCATAATTTTTATATTAAAACAAATATCTCATTGTATAAATCAGTTTTATATAGATAAAACCAGAACAATCGACAAGGCGTATGACACATTATTTACATATATTTTATTTTATAACCATCGAATCTAAATATTAGGTAAACCGTTTAAATGCTTGATAATTATAAGATATATGTTGAAAGAATTCATAAATATATTATTCCAAATTAATGCATGCGTATCTATATTATTGAAAATGGATAAATTATTCAATGAACCTACTAAAAATAAAATTAAAACATGCACTTATATAACCACATTCTATCAGAAACATGCTTTTACATAAAACTCAACATTAGTGAAATGCAATGTTGCATTCAAATCTATTTGCTAAATTACGAACAAATTTTCAGACGACTTTAGAAGAAACATCGTATTTCATAATTTGAAAAAAAAAAAAAAGATTTACAATCGGCTATCAGCGGAAGAAGTATGAACGAAATTTTACGCTACGCTTGCATAAGTCAAATTCCTCGTAAGTTGTCGATATATAAATATTAATCGCCCAATTTAAATATTTATACGTTGTCCTCAAATTATTTGTTTTTAAAAATATCTTTTTTGGCTTTTATTAAATAAAAACAGTTCAAACTTTCTATTTTGCAAGAGAAAAATGCGCGGTTATGTGGTATAAAAGAATCTATGCATCATAAATCAAAACTTTTTCAGTTAACATTAAGGAACTTTGAAGTTAACAAGGTGTCCCGACTATTTTCGAAAGGTTTTTCTTAAAAATATTAATATAAAATTTTAAAACACCATCTTACTTTTTCATTATGTGTAATAACTTATAATTCTAGCAAAAACAATTATCATTAATATTATTTTCTTTTTGTATGACCATTTTTAGGTAAAAATTCGGCACTTTTTGCATATACGCTAAAATATGTATTTGTATATTGCATACATGTAAAAATATTTCTATCACCCGAAACAAAACAAAAAACCTTTGAGGATTTTATTTATAAGGCTATCATTTATGTTTTGAACTAATATCCAAAACACAAGTGTATTTACTATTGAGTTAGGGATCAATGTAGTTAAAAAAAAAAACAAGTTTTTAAAAATTTCCGCACTTGTCTTTGTGAAAAAACATACATAAAAAAATGAAATTCTACTTTTTCTCTTAGTCTGCAATTTAAAACATGTGTGTAATAATCATAAACACTCAGTGAGATTCTGAGCAAAAGCAAAAAGGGAAAATCCAAATTGAAAGGGAGAATGATTTAACTTTTCCCCTGAACGGGAAAACGTACAAGAATTGTATTATTTTACTTTTGTATTAGGTGTGGCCAGGGTTGTTATGGCGTAGAAATGTCGTGTCCGAGACTTATAATTTTGTACTTGTTTTGTGTAACTAAATTAGTTGTTAAATGTTGTTCACCCATCTAATTATGTTTACATCAAAATCCTTATTTACAAATAAAAAATTGTAGACGATTGTTCTAAAAACAACATGAGATGTCGTGTTTAAGGTGGCGTTAAATGTGAAAAAAAAACTGATTTTGAGGTAAACGCATTTAAATTCTTAAAATCACTAGTCTATCCACTGTTATCACCTTGCACAATAACTGATATAATTTTGTAAATAAATGAAGTACAAACAAAAGTAGAGTATTTTTTAGAAAGCTAAGATCACAGGGATTCTAAATTTATTATAAAATCAATTTCGAAAATGTTGACCAAAATAATGTTTTTACACAAGTGAGATACCTTAAAGGAACCAAACTTTCATCCACTCTCCTAACTAAACTAGTAGAAACAGAAATTTAATGATTCCGGCTACCCCCTAAATTTTGAAGGTCAAGAATCCAGGTACGTAAAAAATATGCTTATTCAGAGAAAGTACGTTTTTGCGTCTAATTTCGTAACTTGATTAACAATTAGTATATTTGTGATAACCCTAAGAAACTATTCAGATTAACACTTAGTATCTAAAAATCCGATCATCAGAGCAAAAGTTATTCAGGGTGATATATTTTGCTTGCGCACTGTACATTTTAATTCATGTATTGATATAATTACAGATGGCTGGAAAGAGGTCCTTCAAGAAAATATTGATGGCGAAGTCCTACCAGCGTTCCTCGGAGGTAATCGGTCAGATCCGGATGGCAATCCGTGGTGTACCTCTTTCGTAAGCAAGCAATTATTCCTTAAAACTTTAACACAAGTTTATTGTTTCTTCAACATCAGTGATAAAAGGGAAATGTGATAAAAATTGTTATATGTATACAAGCACTTGTTAATTTGAGGAAAATGAATCTGAATTACAGCAAGCAGATGTTTTTTTTTTTTCATTTTTTATTTATGACTATTATTCATCTTGATCTTTCTAATGCTTTTCCTTAATCAATTTTACTATGATTATTTTCAAGATTGATTACTTTTAATCAAACATTACTTTGATTGACAACTAAATATTACTTTGAACGATTTCTGATGTAACGATGGAATAGATAAAACAAAGAATCAATTAATAGGTGGACTGAGTTAGCAGCCTTGGGTGATTACTGAGTAAATAACTTTTATTTTCTAACCTGTAATAGGAGATTAAACTCAAGTATTAAAGCTTTGGGGTTTATTCACATACAACTTAAAAATCAGTCGCTGTGACAACTATCTGATCAAGAGTACCAATCAATATCCGGACTTGTCTACGTAAGACACTATGTCACGTACGATTAAGAGCACCATACATGGTTTGAAAATGAGATAGAAGCCATAAGTCCAAAGCCATAAGGTGGCGGTGCGAATCATTCGCAGAACCCACCAGTGACCCATGGACCAACATCCAACCAAAAGACTTGTTGTTTCTAATGCCCGTTGACAATGCCAGATGACATACGGGGTGAAACCAAAGGAATTTAAGGCAGAGGGTACGTTTTTTGTTTTTGAGGTGGCGCCATCTATGGCCAAGAATACGACTTCAGCCACACAAACGTCTCTTACCGTAGATAGGGTGGACCCATTCATTCATTCATCCACATATCGTATTTTTGATCTGAATCAAAGAACGATCAATCTCTAATTCAGTACCCCCTGAGGGATGATCTGTTAAGAGAAAATGGAAGGCTTTGTGACCCGAGAGTTTTAACGTGCACCAGTCACCATTTACTTCATATTCGGCCAGTGGGGATCGAACTTATGACCTCTTGGACATGGGCCCAATGCTTTACCAACCTGGCTATCCCGGCCCATCGATAGACTACAAAGCTTGTGCTTTTCCCCAAAATATTTAATAAAAGAAAATTGCAACCAAAATCAATTAAAAATATTTACATCACACTCGGAGTACTTTCTTATAATCTTTAATTAAGCGAAAAGTAATAATAAAGTAGGCTTTAAGAGTGATTTGTTATAGTATATTAAAACTACTTGCAGTGGGTTCAGAATTGAACTATTCAAATTTTTTTGTAGCAGGTTTAAGTCACATGGAATGAATTTTATCCCCCGTGGTTATATTTCAGTTCAAAAAATTTTCGACAGATGTTTATAACTAATAAATTAAAAAACATAATTAAAAAACATAATTAAAAACTTCTTCAAAATATTACGAAATCTTTCATGAATAAGTATCAAATTACTATATATATATTTTTAAAATGTCTATCATTAGCCGCGATTATGTGTTGCAATCGAGGGGGGGGGAATTAGCAACTCCAACGAAGAAAACAATGGATGGGACTTGAATTGCCATCTGTCGAAAACATTTCGAACTAAAACCAAAAACTCGAATAAAACTTGTGCCTTGTCACTTGAATTTGCTACAAGAATTTTTTTTTGACCATATATATTTCCTGTTATAAATTTATTTATATCTGTTTTGTGTTACAATAAGTTCAGTTTAGAACACCCTGTAATAACATTTCTTTCTCACAGCTTGTCTTTGGGAAGAAGGTTCCAGAAGAATTATATTCTAAGAAGAAAAAATCTATTGTCAGTGAAAAGGGTGTGAAAAAGTTGACTATTAATAGGTTTTCGTCTTCTGAAATTATGTTACATATTTACGAGGAGAATACGTGTATTGAGTGGGAATTCGAGACTAAAGTGAAAGACATTGGTTTTGGACTGTACTACAAAGACAGTTCCAAGGAAAATTCTAGAATAGAAGAACTTATTCCGAAACAAAGAATAGACACAATGCTGTCGTCTGAAGCAGGAGTTTACAGTTGTAACAGAATTGGAACATGTAAGTAGATATGACTGATAATGTAACACTTCGTATCTTCATAAATTGTAAAGGTTAGATACCCACCTTAACCCTTTCGACTTTTGCAGCATTAAAATAACCATACGAAGACTTATATAATAATGGAAAACTTTATAGCAATAAAGTTTTCCCGGAAATATTCTGGGACAATATATCTTTATCGTCCAGAATATTGTAAAAATATCTATATATTACATAGGAATAAATAATGAAAATAATATAAATACATCGAATTATTTACTCCTAGCAGAAGTTGCCTTACCAGAAGTCATAGAAAAAAGAACTTGCCGTTATGAAATAATCAAAACAAAAACTAAAATTTTGTCTTGTAATATTGTAATCACTAATGGGATATATTGTCCCAAAGTACGATTGGGACACTATCCCACAAAACAAAATGTGGCAAAATTTCTAAATCTGATACTAAATCGGTACAATTATTACTTAATAAGAACAAACATAATTATTTTACACAAAATATGGCAAAAATATAGTTGTATTTTTCTCAAAATTCAGAAAATGCTAGAAATTAAAACGAGATTGACAAACAGAAGTCTGTCATTTTGAATATCAGAGTGTTGCCAGCTTCCTTTAGTTACGTTTTTATTTCCTAATGTCTAAAGAACCCAGAAAACATAAAACCAGTGCGAGGTTGGGATCTGTTAATCCATTAGGGAGGGAAGTTTAATCTTTGGGACGTACATGTCCCATTAGGGTCAAAAGGCTTAATAATACTGTATATGAAGCATGTGACGTCTTTACATTATCAATTATAGCTCTTCCCTTATTCATTTCATGTAAGTTGTTGTTTTTTCGAGGGAGGGAGATGGTTAAGTACCGATATGGATCCAACACCAATATGGGGCAAATATGTATAATATTATATTATGTATTAATAGTATAATGTATATGCATTAATAGTATTTCTCCAATGCCTTCATAAATTTTTAAAAATTAATGCTTGAAAAATGTTTATAACAAGAGACGCAAATTAATATTTAAGTGAGCTAAAATACAGCTAAAATATTGTTAGCTTTTGCCGAGTTGTTATTACAATTGATCGAAACAAAGTCGGAACTAAAATTATTAAGAATGTTTTTATTTGAGGAGGAATAAAAACGAGTTCACTGACAAAAAAATTGTTTAAGTGAAAAATTCGAATTTTGTCGAAATTTCAACAAGTTTCCTACAAGGCAGAATTCACAAGTCTCTTTTAGAGTTTTGAGTGTGATTACAAAACAAGTTTCAATCGCTACACTTAACTATTGCAAATTTTATCACCATATTATCAAGCAAAGGAATTTATCATTAATCGATATTTCTATCACTTTTGCACTAGCTAGAGTGCGCAATTTCATTTTGACCAATGCTTCTTAAATTGGGAAAGAAAGATTGCAACTGCATTTTGTCAACAATCAAAATTTTCTGACAAAAATTTCAACCATTTTCATTCACATACATGTTTACTGAGAGTAAAACTAAAAAGTAAACAATAAAACTAAATTATAAATTTAAATACGACGTTTTTAAATTAGACTCAAATAGAAGATTCTTTTATTGTTGCCAGATATTAAACAAAGGAAAAAATTATGATTGGTAACATACTTCTATTTCCAGCAAAAGTATAGCTCGTTCACCAGGAGTTGGCATTTGGCTGCGTCTTCATCACGTGGTATGCGACGATACTATTTCGCTATTTTTGGGAGAAGGTTTTGAGCAATCCTGAACGAGGTTGCTATTTGGCGATCGTATAGCAAAAATATTTATTTCGCAAACTTTATCTGTATTTTTTAACATTAAATATTTCATAAATTTGATGATATTTCGCGCAATTTTATGATATCTCTCGCTTTTGAGAGAATAGTTTGTCCTTTTTGAGACATTTTTCTAGGAAAACAGCAGTTTTTAAGATTGAAATTTATTTAATTAGCTAGAGAAATGAAAGGTATAATAGCAGATGATAAAGCGAAGTAAGTAACTGAAAACAAAGTCACTGTTTGTGAGCACTAAGGGTTGTCTCAATTTCAAGAGCGGAGATGTTTCCCTTCTTATTCTCTCGCTGAAATGAACTCTGCATCCAAGGAGGTGGTGCCAAGTGCCAACTCCTGGTGAAAGCGAATTATATCTCTGTATCTTACGAAAAAAATGTTGCACAGCGCGTTTCAAGTGTGACAAAAATGAAAAATTTCTCTTCAAACTAATACACTATGTTTTTACAATTTTCATTTTTTCGTATTATTTAAAGCAACATTTATGAAATATTTGTAGAACTTAAATAACTTTATATGTTAATTTGAAGCTAAGAAATAATAAAGAAAGAAAGAATAAGTAAGAAAAGAATAAACCAGTTTTTTCATTTTCTGTGTTTTTACATTTATTTTCCCCTTTGTAAAGAAAAAATAAATAAACCAGATATATTTTTTTCTTTAAACCTTCATTTTCTTCTTTATAAGGAAAAGAATAAATCAGATTCTACTACAAATCAAATTTGTTCTTAAGATTTAAATTTTTTCTCTTCTTTTTTCAGATATTATTGTTTTTGACAATTCTTACAGCTGGATATATTCGAAAGAACTCTACTACCGAATCCGATTGAAAAAGCCAAAGATGATCAATTAAGATTCTTTATTTACTTTTATATTTACTTTTTACATACTTATAAATATTTACATTAACTGTTATGTTTATCAACTAATAAAAATAATTCAAAACTATAGTGTTATGAACTTTTTTAACATTTATTTTGATTCACAATTCATTTTATTTCTCTTACAAGGCAGCAAAAGGGTACAACAATGACTATTTCCAGCCATAACAATTTATTTTAATCTTATGTACAGCGCATACACGGTGTTCCGTAATCACCAGCCTTCATACATATTTTTAGATTTTTTTTTCAAAACATACATATATTAAGGTCCATATATCTAAATAAAATAAAAAGAGAAATTAATTCTGACTAATCAGTAACAAAGTCAGCAAAAATCAGTTGGAATAATCAAAACCCAGTTTATTTACAGAATGAAATTAGTCAGAAAATTGAAATATGATTGATTTCAATTTTTTTCGGCATATAAGTCGTTTTTCAATAAATGATATGATATGATTGTTTTCGCTTTTTTCTGGATATAAGACGTTTTTCAATAAATGGTATGATAGTATGATTGATTTCACTTTTCTTCCGCAGATAAGGAGCTTTTCAATAAATATAATTTCTTCTAAACAAGTTGGCCCCGATTATCATTCACAAAATTTTAGTGATTTATAAACCAGACTTAAAATTGTTTCCAGATTTCTGAATGCAAGGATAAATTTCTCTGCAAAACCTTGTATATTGCTTGCATATTTAATAAACAATTTAAATAAAAAGCTAGAAACCAAAAATAAGCAAAACAAAATTAAAAAGTCTGTCAGCGGTTAAACCAAAAGCTGACTGTGCTCAGAGGCCCCAGAATGAAACAACTGAACAAGATTTTTTTTTTCCAATGCCCATCTGGAGAATGACCTTTCGTCATACAGGCATTTGAAGGGCAGATTTGTCATTGCTGAGAGTTAATTCCAACAAAAAGATAGGAAAATGATAAAACACAAATTGAAATGTATTAGTAACTGAAGAGACTCANAGAATGACCTTTCGTCATACAGGCATTTGAAGGGCAGATTTGTTGGCCACTTTTTCAGGAGCACCATATTAGGTGGGCCAACGTTGCTCTCACAGTTAGGACAGATAGCACAGAGAATGAAAGAACATCCATGCCTTGCCCGGGATTCTGACCCAGAACCTCTCTAATGCAAGGTCAGTTCCCTGACACCTACACAGGCCGGTCGGTGAATAAGAAAATACGTGAATGTACACGAACGTGAGTTCATGCCTTATAAATCAGCCTATGTCGGCCCTCAAGTTACGTATTAAAAAGACAAACTGATGAAGAAATGGTACTAATCCGTCTAGATAAATTTTTGGCTGATATATGAGCTGATATTCTTTTTTTTATCCCCAGGATTTTTATTGAAAATATTTTTTAATTATTTTTTCAATTTATTTATTGTGATATATATATACAGTAGAGCGACGATCATCTGAACTGCTCGGGACAAAACGTGGTTCTGATAATTAAAAGTTCGGATAATTGAAAAGTCGTTTAAAATCTAGTTTAAATGATTAATATTTATGCACTAACTTCTCTTCACACCTTTTCCAGACTTAGGACTGGTAGTACTATCTAAAATAGCTTTGGCGTGTTTAAATTTTCTTTCCTTTTTTTTCTTTCAATTTTTAAATATTTTTTATTTATTTATTTTTT